TGAACTACTGTGACTGGGCAAGTTGGGCTCAGGAAGGCTCCCGGTGCACCGAACAGGCTCAGAAAGGGCAAAGCAGTAGGAGCTGGTCCCTGTCCGTGGTCACCAGCTCTATCTGCAGCGACTGCAGAGCTCATTCGTGTCTGGCTAGGGTACTGAGCAAACACTACCCCCACTATTCCTCCTCACACACTGGAGACAGCAATGCTAGAGTCACCATGGGTTGCCATCAAGGGCTCCTGGGCACACAGACCCGCAGCCAGCCCTCCTTCCCCACCCGCCCTCTTTCCCATCTCTCTGTGCCACCAGCCCTACTGGCTGCCCTGCAGTCAGCCGGCACCCCCTGTCAAGCCTTCAAGCAGCCAAGATGCTGCTCCGTGTGGGAGCTCTGAGACCGAAGCATTGGTTTCAAGGAATCTTGGCCAATGGAAATAGCTAGACCCTGTGAGATCTCCTTCTCCTCCTCCCTGCCTGTAGGAGTTAGTTTGCTAGGGCTGCTGGGACCTAGGACCACAAACTGGGCTGCTTAAACTGAAGAGCATTCTCTCACGGTTCCGGAGGTTAGAAGTCCAAAGTCAAAGTGCTGGCGGGGCTGGTTCCTTCTGAGGTTTGTGAGGAAAGGATCGGCTCCAGGTCTCTTTCCTTGGTGTGTTAGATGCTGTCTGCCTTCTTATTCATATCATGTTCTCTATGTATGTATGTTTGTCTCCAAATTTTTGGGGGGGCACCAGTCATATAGGATTAGGGACCCTTGTGTGACCATGTTAATGTAATGACCTCTGTCAGGTCCCCATTTCCAAATAAAGTCATGTCCTTGTGCACTGGCTTCCATATATGGATTTGAGGGGAGACACAGTTCCCCCCATGACACTGTCCCAGCGAGGACCACTCACCTCTGGTCTCTAGTCTCTGGTCTGTCCGGATTCATAGCATCAGCAGCCCTGGGATCCCAGACCTTACCCTAGACTGAGCTGGAAATCACACCTGCATTCTAGCCTGAGCTTGTTACCAATGAGTGCTTCGGCCTTGGACTGTCATTTTACTTCTCTGAGCCTCGGTTTCTGAAACCAAAAGGGAGGAAATAATTTCTGCCTTGCCTCACAGAGCTCCCGGGAGCACCTAATAAGACAGCGAATACGACAGCATCATGAAAAAATAAGTACCCCACAAATGTGAAGGACTAGCACTATATCATTATCATCACGGGTAAGAATAAAGGGATCCTATGGCTGGAGAAAGTTCCATCCTCACCCTGCGGAGCTGAAGGAAAACCGTTCCATTTATAGAGCCATCTCTTTGCATCCCCTCCCAAGAGGAAATCTCCCATTTCCTAGATGCCCATTCTGAAGAATTACAGCTTTCATTCACTCCACAACCGTCTTCCCCTAACCTAATCCACTGGGCTACATGTAAGCCCACCTGATTTTTATTCTGACCGGGTAGGGCAGAACTGATCACTACCCAATATTTTTTATTCGACCCTTTCATTAAATTACCAGACTTTTCCTGAGCACTTGGCATTTGCAGGGCATTGTGCTTGGGACTACGGGCTCAGAGCTGGAAAAGGCACAATTCTGACCCTTCTGTTGTTCACAGTCTAGAGGCCAGGAGTTCGAGGGGTGCAGTCTGCCCTCTCCCTAAGAAACATGCCTTTCCCCATAAATGTCTCCTTGTGCAGACTGTATTTCCTGAACCTTTGTTCTCCTCAAAATGTGCCCTCCACACCCCCATCTGCAGGTGACCCTGGACTTTTTTGCTATGCACTTTCCCTTTTAAGCCAAGATGACTGAATTCACGTCAGTCACTTTCCATGGACACCCTCGGTGCATGTGGTGGTTCTGCTGCATATAAGGGCTCTCAAGCACAGGCTGCAGCCCCAGACTCTGTGAAGAAGACCCGTCATCTTGCAGTTCTAAAACAGGCATCTGTGATCTGATTTCACCATTGGTCCCACTGCCACGTGACAAGTAAAGTGGCAGTCTGGTGGCTGGTCTAGCAAGTGAAAGATTCTTGTCCTTTCTGTAACATTCTATCATCTCTCCCCTAAGAGCCAGTCAGTCTGTCTTGGATGAGTTTCCCCAAGCCAAAGCAGTTAGTTCCTGCTTCCCCCTGGTTCTCTCTCTGACCAGTATCTTTGATAACAGCCACCTCCCCACCTGTGTTTCCAGACTCTCCTCCACTCCCCCACTTCAGGCCCCCTGGGAGGCTTCCTCAGGTAGAGGAATGACCTCTAATTTAGCTCTGCAAATCTCTCCGAAGAACATCCCAAATTTTTGCATATGGATAGCTAGCTAATTTTCACTTCACTAATCCTCCAGCCTGCTCTTTCTTGCAAAGGTCCCAGTGGCTTCTCCCCACTTCTCTGTAAGAACTCAGCCAGAGAGCCCTCTCACGTAATAAATTTCTGCAGTGTGCTTATTAGCGCCTTACAATGTAGCTGCCTAAATAATTAAGACTAACCCACACGTGTCAAAGTAAATGAGCCAAATACATTGAGAAATTGCCTCGTCCTCCAGTTCTTTAATTAATCAGATTTTTTCTTAGACTTCATTTCCTGCTCATTTGCAAAAAATCAAACGTGGTCAATGAAGTTCTTACTTATCATATATGTACATGCAGCCTCTTTCTTTAGGACATCACTCCGGGGGTCAACCTATTATGTGACGTGGGATGGGTTGAGTTGGGGTGGCAGAGAGAGCCAACATAAATAATCCAGATTCAACAGGTTGTCCACACTCTCTAAATCTTTAGGAGAAGTATGCCCCCTCCATTTCCCTAAGAGTTTAGGAAGCTGTCCAGGAGGACCAACAGGAACATAAGCCCAAATCCATCCAGCATCTTCAGTCCCCACTTCTCAGAGCTCCCCAGGGCTCGCGCCAGGAACCAAGCCCCTTCTCATTAGGCCACTGCTCAAGTGCTTTACTTTAGATGGGCGTAAGAAGTCAATGGAAAATATAATAAGACTCGTCAGCAATTGAATCATTCTGATGATGAACAATATGCATGTAGTTATAATGGGCTGGTTAACTCTGCCCCTCGTCAGCACGTTGAGGTTTCAATATAGTGTCAAGCAAGAGGCTATTGTTGGCTGGAGCTCAGCGCTGCCTCACAGCTTGTACTTCCTCTGGCCCCCTCCTGGCAGGCTGCATTCCTGCCTCTCCAAGGTGGTTGCTAGAAAGAATCCACAAATATAGTAAGTAAACATCAAAGGGGCTTTGATCCACACGGGGCCTCGACAGCGCAGGAGCCCTTGAAGAAAGGGCCAGGGCCTTGGATGGGGGAACTTAACATTGTCAATCTGGGCGCCTGAGATGTAAGGCTGTTTGAAGTGAGGGCGGTTTGGCCGTGCCTTCAGACGAGTGAGCAAGCGTGCAGGAAAGGAAGAGAAGTGAGTGCCTTTGGAAAAGGCACGCTCAGATCTGCTTCTCTGCTCTTTACTGATAGTTAATAAACCCCTTTAAAGAATCAGGGGATCAAAGCTAACATCCTCCCTGGGCCATGGCATTCTGCCACTGCCCGCCATGCTTTGTTTTTCTCCAGGGCAAGAGCCCCTAAGCTTGACTTCTCCATCTCTCCTGAGCCCTTTCATCTTGCTACCCATGGAGGGTGGACCTGGGCAACAGGCAGTGGACAGGGAGGTAGGGAGGAGGAATGAGCCCATCCTGTCCAAGCCCATAGCAGCCTAGATGCTGACTGGCTGGAGCGCAGAGAAATACCCACTGTGGTGGGAGAAGTTGCTGTGACACACCACTCGGTGGAACCCTCCTCCAAACCTGGTAGAGAGAACAGCTGAGTGCCCAGAAAGCCCGGCAAGGCCCGGGAGGAGGTGCAGCCTCATTCCATCGTCCAGAAATCCTACCCCTATCCCTTCACCAAGTGTATGGCAGCTGTCACATTTGTATGACTTCTGAGCAAAGAGGTTGGAGCAGGGATTCTAAAATAATCGTGGGAAGTCATTTAGCATCTCTGAACTTCAATTTCCTCATCTGCATAATATGAATAACAATGACCTAGCTGCCTACCTCACAGGGTTGTTGTGGGGGGTCAGAAGAGAAACAGTGTGGAATTGCTTCAGAACCCACAAAGTGCTAAAGACAGATCAGGATTAAAGAATAAACACCGGAGAGGAACACTCGCCTTCCTGTGAGGCAGGTGTACTCCAGTCCAACACTCATGCACAATGGGCGCTGATTTACAAAATGCTGAGAAAAAAAAAAAAAGCCTCTTGCATTTGCTACCTAGAATTGTTGTTCTACCTTATTTTTCCAATTGGAGCAAAGTCTTGTGAGACCAGAATCTATGTTTTGTGTCTCTTAACCATCCCAACACCTGTGCTTCATGCTGAGTGTCCATCTCATAAATGCTTGGTGCTGGTGCAGAATTGTGCCTGAATATAAAAATGCACAGGAATCTCCTGCCCCAGAAATTCATTCTCTTCCAAAAGGTAGACTCCTTCTACCTACACATCTTCCCCCAAATTCACCCAACCACTTCTTCACCCTCTGAGTCACCCACTGTGTCTGGTTGCACTGCTCCATCCTAGATACCACTGGCTGGCAGTCCTGACCACAGTCCAGTGTGATCAGACATAGTCCCCAAACCTGGGATACATAGGGCCTCATTAACCTCATAGAGCAGCAGTTATGAGCACAGCCTCCTAGATTCAAAGCCCTGGCTCTGCCACCTACTAGCTCTTCCATCTAAAGCTGTTAGGTAACACGTCTGTAAATGGGGATGCTGTAAGATGGGGATAATGATGGTATGCACTCATATTGTTGTTGCGAGAATCAAATGAGGAGTTATTGGCTTAAAATTAATCCTGGTCCATAGTAAGTGGCAACCTACATGAAAGTGGCAACTTAGATAATAAAAAACTCATGGAAATGTTTGTTAAATAAATAAGTAGCCTTGTTTATAAGAGCTACAAGTTTTACGTCCCCTGCAAGGGGCCTTCACTGACACCTGACTCATTCCCAGCTCACCCACCTGTGCTTTTCTTCCAGAGCTTGGCCTCCAGAAGAGAGGATGCTGCTTGGTGCTGGGCTACATGGCCAAGGACAAGTTTCGGAGAATGAATGAAGGTCAGTGAGAACCTGCCCACCCTCTTGGGAATAATGTGGAAGTGGAAGTATGCCTTACAACTACGGTATCAGGGAAAAGAACGTGGGACATCTCAGAAAGGACAGCGTACAGATCAGCTTTTTCCATGAAGCTATTTATATAGTAATGGAGGGAAGAGTAGCTAGTGCCTGAACCTTAAACATGCCCCTTACACTTCCTGTCCCCCGCCCCTTTGGGCACTCTACTCTTCCTCAATCTTCCCTACCTTCTGTTCCCCACCCACCCATCCCCAGGGCAATTAAATCTGCTTCTATTATCTTTCCTAATCCAGGCCTCTCTACCTTCTTCCTCAATCATTCATATTTCCTGAATGTCTACTGAATAAACAGCATCTTTACAGGGCACTTGGGAAAATACGGACAAATAAGGCAGAGTTTTTGTTCTGAAACAACTTACAGTTGGAAACCTCTTTTCCAACTCCATTGGCCCTGCCTCTCCCTCTAACTATGGACCATTCTGCCTTCCTCTTGCACTGGGTCTTTCCTCTGAGGCTTGACTGGGTCACAGAAGGCTTAGGGAAGGTATTGGCATTGAGGTGGAGGCAGGGATGTGAAAGGATCACTGTCACTTACGGGTCTGCTGTCATAAAGAGCCAGTCCCCTCATTCCAGCCATCTGTCTCCGGGCAGCTAATAACCCTCTCCATCACATGCCACAGACTGTTTGTCAGGATTCAAAAGTAGATAAACAATGGCTGGGGAAGCCATTTATTCATTAAAGGCAGACAATGAAGCCCTGGCCTCCTACCAGCCAGCTTGTCATGAGCGGGCCCCTCCCCTCCCAAGGCCCAGGGCCCCTGTACTCTCATTCCCATTCCAGGCATGGAGGCAGCTCACCTGTACCACCTCTACCCCAGCATCAGACCACAGCATAGTCTGGTGCCCTCTTCCTATGCTCCTCAGATGGCTCTCCTCCAAACCCACAGTCCATGACACCCACCTCCACCCCCATATGCTCCCCAGTATTGATACCTTGCCAGCTATAGGTCTGTTGCCAGTGCCTATCATGGTAACAGCTGAACAAGAGTTAGGCCACCACAACTAGGTACAAGGAGTATCACCTCCCGCACTGTGCTGCCTGTCTGTATAAGAAGGCAGCAGCTTCAGGAAGTCAATTTTCATATGTAGGAGCCCCATGGCTGAGCACAATCAGTGTTGGGAGCTGCATCTTCTGCATCCTGCCAGTCAGTCTCCCTCCCTGACGTTCCTTTTTCAGCCTACCTCTTCCCTTCCCAGCACTGCCTTCCTGAATGCGCACAAGGCCGTAACTTCTCATTTGGGGGACCTGACAGCGTGTCTCTGTCCGTGGTGCTGAATAGACATATCCTCTTGCTGACAATGCTCATTAGAGAAGCTGAAATGAGGTGCTGAAATGAGGTACACAGGCACTGGGAAAGCCAAAACGTCGGAAGCTGAGCTAGAATTGAAACCTCCACCTCTGAGGTTCTGACCCCAGTAGAAAGATACTGACTCCAGATCCGGGACCTAAAAAGAATCATACCACGAGTCTGATGAACACAATTTGACCCCCTCAACTTCTCACAAGTGATTAAGGGAGGAGTATATTAGTCAACTCACTCTTCCATAACAAAATACCACAGGCTGGGAGGCTTACACACAGAAATGTATTTTATCACAGTTCTGGGTACTGGAAGTCCAAGATTGGGGTGCCAGTATGATCAGGTTTTCATGAGAGTTCAGCTCCTGACTTGCAGATGGCCACGTCCACACCATGTCCTCACATGGCAAAAAGAGAGAACAAGTTCTCTGCTGTCTTCTTAAAGGCACCCAGATCCTATCTGATCAGGGCCCTACCCTTATGACTCTTTTAACCTTAACTGCTTCTCTAAAGGCCCTATCTCCAAATACAGTCACACTGGGGGTTGGGGCTCCAACACAGGAACTGGAGTCGGGGAGCACAGTTTAGTTTACAGCAAGGGGTCTTAATGCATTTGCTATAGCAAAAAGGTGCAATGGTACAATCCCTCTGAACCAGGGATTAGGAAAATGGTAAGAAAAAGAAATTCAGCAATAGGTAGAGAGGTACTCCTTAGACATTTTTTAAGTAAAGAAGGAAGAGAGGGAGTCAAGGAGGACTAGAGGGAGACTTGGAAACAAGACCAGAACCTGTGAGGACAGTTAGCCTTACTTTGTGGAACAGCTAAGCTAAGAGCATTTTAAATAGTTTTTTTCTGGTTAAAGTGGGAAGATGCCAAAACGATGCCTATTCTCTCTAAGCCCCTCTCCACATAAAACCACACAATGAGTCATTCCTTTCAAATGATTATGGTTGACTTGGTTAAGAATGAGTGATCCCAGGTGCCTTACCCCAATCTATACCCTCCTCTAGTGAAGGCTGATCAAGAAAGGCATTCAGAATGAGGGAGACCTCAGCAATGGCCAAGGGGTTACAGAGCAGCTAACGCCCCACCCTGCCTCCTTCTCTGCTCGCGCTTCTCACCCCTCCCAAGTGCCCCAACGTACACATATATGCACATAGTCACACAGAACCAGACACACACAGGAGCTGATGTTGCATCTGGGTAAACAGGGAGGCAAGGGGCTGGTAAACAAGCTGAACCACCATGTGATGAGTTACAAACCCCAACCAACAAAGAGGAGACAATATGGGAGGAGACAGCAGGAAAGAAGGAGAGATGCATGCACGAGGTGGGCAGCTTCAGCTCTGGAGGGCGGAAGGCACGAGGAGAGTGGGGAGGGGCGGTCCTGGGAGGGGAGGCCCCACCACTCCTGCTGCAGCCAGCCTTTCTACCCCGAGTGCCACAGTCTACATTTTTTTCTCTTCCTAAATCTCACATGCCCAAACTCCAGCACGTCTGCAGATAAGAAAAGGCATCAGCAAGCCTGTGGAGCTGTTTTATGGTTTATAATTATCTTGTACCAATACTCAAAATAATTACAACTTCCACATATTAATAATTGAACTGGAATAGCAGCCATGACATAGCGCAAGAAACAGAAATGTCTGTCCACGCTGCATATCCACCTTGGTATAAGTTAAACAATTGGTAAAATGGTTAAAATAATAATAATAATAATAATAATTCTTTTTCTCCAAGAGGCTGGAATTAGTGAGATATTGGAACAATTAGCTGCTTCTTCCATTAAAGATAAGGTAGGGATCATTGCATTTCTAATTTAGAATAAATATAAAAGACAGCTTGTGCTGTATTAAGGCATATTTGTTCTGTTTAACAGTATCTAATAGGGTGTCTGTCACCCAGAGGGAAGTGGCCCCCTATTTCATCTGTTTCCTTGCTAATTTGGTTTCATTTTTATTTTCTTTGCCCTCTATTCCCCAACACCTCCAAAAAATAACAGTCTGAAAGGGAGCAAGAGAAAAATAATGAATGAACAGGAGTTTTATAGATCTGGGTTTTATCATAAGCTAGAGTAATCACAATTGGTGCTGTTCAACTACACAAAGCAATAAAAAGAAAACACTATTCAAAGATCGTTTAAGGAGGCATGTGATAGTCCATGAGAGGTTTGCTCTATTTGGGAGCGCTTAATAGCTTCTAGGATAAGATCCGCAACATTTGCAGAAATGGAGGTGGTTGGTAATATGTGGTGTGTGTGTGTGTATGTGTGTGTGTGTGTTCTTTCCTGTTTGAACTCAACAAACCCGAGGCATCAAATGGAGATATGAATAAAAATCAATGAAAGGCAGATAAGAGAGGAGGCACAAAGACAGACTAGGCATAAGAATATCAGATTTGTTTGATATAATTGTCTTTGTCCAATTAAGTACATAGTGCTTTAACTAGGAACTGCTGGAAGGAGATCATTTATTTATTCATCAAACATTTATGGAATATTAACCATGAAATAATGCCAGTTTTTCATAATAAGAGCCAGGCATTGTTCTAAGCACTGAAGCTTTAAAAATAAATAAAACATAATCCCTGCCCTCAAGGGGTTCACAATAAAACACACAGGTATGTCTCAGGTCGCTGTCCCTGCCACAAAGAGACCCTGCCTGGCCACCTTACCTGATTGGATGCCCCTCTTCCCCACCATTTTACTCCATGGTGGCAGCCAGCCTACTTACTTGTGTGACACTTACCCTAATTAACTGATTATTTATTAGATTGTCAGTCCCACCTCAGAGTCAGCCTAAGGAAGGTCAAGTTCCTACTCCCTCCATGTCTCACCTGTCCCTGGGCCTTAGCCCATCGTGTCACACATACGGAGTAATTTAATTAACTTTCATTTAATTTAGTCATTAGGCCATGAGTAACATGAAGGGAATGCAGTCACCCACGGGTGGAAGGTGAGCCCTGAGAAAGAGCTCACAGGCAGCGAACTGATGCCAAGAATTCCACGAAATGGGAGCACCCACACCTCTGGTAACCCCCGAAGGTTCCTCTCTCAGCCACTCTTCCATTTCCAATACTTTAGCCCCTTCCTGGGAAGCCAGGGCCCAGGCAGGCCAGCAGAGGAGGAGGGCTGGGCAGGGCAGTCCTCAGGGGTGGGTGGCCTCCCTCCTCTCCATACCAGCTTCCCTTCTTCACCCCACCTGCTGCTGGGCCACATCCCCAGGGCATCTCCAGGCAGGTAGGTCCCACCGGATCTGCACAGAACTATCCCTGCAGCTCCCTCGTCCCGCACCCCTGACACAGGCACACACATGCACGCGCGCACACACCATTCCATTTTCTTTTCCAAGCTCTTCCAGATTACTCATTTCTCCTGGAGATGCCAGAACCACTCACCTTCTCAACGCACATTGTTTGCCCAGGCTTCTCCCATTCATAAAACAGAAATCGCTCCCATGGTATCTGATGAAGCTCTGTCTGCCTTCAGAAAACTCAGTATCCCTCTTAGTTAGAACTGTGAGAAACCCTAGCAATTAGAGTGCAGCCCACCAACTCGGGAGGCACAGGAACATTGAGTGACTCGCCTAGACTCACAGGAAGTTGCTGGAAAGGCCAGGATCAC